AAGTGTTCAGGACCAGGGGACTGTTGTATGCGCCTGTAGGCAATTTGTCTACTTCAGAAAATCTGCACTTTATAGAGGTCGGGTGTATTCACTGTTGAGGTGGCAAGCAAAATAAATTAGGCCTACTTCGATTATGCCAATCAATCTCCATGTGGACATACGGTGCCCTCATGGCAAATTGGCTATTTCGGTTCGATAGACATAGTAAGTCCCCACCCGAAATAATCATTTACTGGGGGTCACTGATTTCTCCTGACTACTTCTTTTAGGGGCGATAACAACTTTCATTAACGAACGGGGAAAAACAGCTCTTAAAACTGCTTTTGAATAGCCCCTGAAACAGGCACCATGAACAGGTTATATAGTGTGCGACCGATCTCATGAAATATTGGCCGAAATACTGAAAAACGTTTTCGATTAGGAAGGATTAATAAGGTGGCGTTGTAATGCTACTTGTCATGAGGCATAATCTTACAGTATTTCGGACTCGGCAGGATGTTGGCTCTTGAATGCACTTCTTTCTGACCTCCCGCAGATACCATACTCGGTAAAAAACACTACTTAAGTAGCATGCACTTCTCACAAGAATGCATATTTTTGTGCATGCTTTCTATAAAGCATACCGAATTTATAAGACCATCGAAAATCAATGTGGAAAATGCATGTTAATTAAGAAATCATTTTTACCGAGCACGCTTTCTGCGGGGGGTCAGAAAGAAGTGCATTCAAGAGCCGACATCCTGCCAGGTCCGAAATACTGTAAGATTATGCCTCATGACAGTTAATATTACAACGCCATCCCATTAAATCGAAAACGCATTGCGAAATTTTGGCCCACATTTCATGAGATCAGCCAATCACTGCATGTTGGGTATGTTCTACACTCTGGTAGGGGGCGCTCACCGATCGTTCTTACGGAACTCACTCGTTCCGTTGTGTCTTACGGGCTCTCTCTCGAGCCCAACCAGCAGCCGCACAGCGGCGCATGATATATAGACGGCATGCTATTGCCGACAAAGACAAAAGAGACTGGAATGGCCACTTCTGGCTTATTATACGTCGTCAGTCAGTCATACCCGACCCCGAAGTGCGGAACACCCGAGGCTCGAACTCGCGACCTGTTAGTTAGAGGTCCACGCCTCTAACTACTGGGCCACGAGCCCATTAACCTGTCGGTTTCGATCGGAAATATATAATGCTAGGCGGCGCTCACCGACCGCCTGTTAGGAACAGCATGAGAAGTCTTTCCAAAGCTCAAGATCAAACTTGTGTCTGAGGTCAGACTGGCATCTCGAATTAAAAGGAGAGAGGAGGTGCGGTGTGCAATGATTAGTAAGCGAGAGGGAGAAAGAGAGAAACCACGCGAAAATGCAGAAGTTCTGAAGTCCGAGAGACAATGAGAACTTGGGGGGAACATTTATTTGCGTACACCGTAAGGGCATAAAGAAGGAAAGTCGGCCAAAATGTCATTTGTTCATGAGTACAGGGGAAAACACTGATTTTCGCCCGTAACTTATCGTTTATTTTCCAACATGTATAACTGGAAAGACTGGGACAAGACGGATAAGACGCCATGAAATTAACATCGCTACTTACGGGGCGTTGCCACGAGAACGGATGGTAGAAATAGGCAATTTGAAGGCCACTTCCCCATTGGTCCTCCGCTTACGGGAATTACCATGCCAACTCTACTAGATACAGTTGCAATAACTGCAACAGCAAAGCCCGACATTTAAACAATCAGAATGCTGCTTGGGGCAGCCTATGAGAAATGAGAAGCCCACACAACCGGAAAACGTTTATTCTAAACGGGATCCAACCACCGATCTCTGAATTTGCGTCGAGTGATCCACCCTCGAACTATCACATCCGCCACTGTCGGGTGTGCAACTAAAGACAGGCTCTTTTTATGAGTCATGAAAAAGGAAATATATAAGTATATATGGTAGATGTGCCTGTGATAGTTTTAGGATGGAGCGTTCGGTGCGAATTCAGAGGGCTAAACCTTCGATTCCGATCTGCAACGAATTTTGCTGGCCGTATAAGTAGCCTTTTTTTTTCCATACTTCGACTTAAAACGTGTCTTAGCTTATCTTCAACAAACTGTTGTTAATCGGTTCGTTAACTCGCCTGATTCAAGTTATTCTATATGGGTTCAGTTCAGCGGTTGGCCGGGTGATGTAAGGATATGCGTTGGACGGTGAGCTCGATAACGCAGAACACAGTCACGGCGGCGAATGTATGGCGGTTTCTTTACAGCATCCTGAAGTTGCTGAATTTCCATGGGACTATACTGCACGGTGATTAATAGAACAACCCTACTTAAGTAATCTTTTCGAATCGGAAACGCATTTCAGAATTTCGGTTAACATTCATGAGTTGGCACATCTATGACATGTGGGGGTAAGTAGCCCGTAGCATTGCCCGCGTCAAAGGACTGCCGACGGGTCACGTGGTAGCAGCCACCTACATGCCTGAATCAGGCAGTGTGAGTTTGGTAACTAAGCCGCGCCCACTGATGGCGCGTTCAATGGCTTTCACTCCGTCTCCACTCACAGGCGTGTCAGTATACTTCTTTTTTATTAAGTTGGTTATTTTAATTTGAATAGACAGAATGAATGAGAGAATTTCCTCGTTTGTCAGTGAGCCAACCCACTCCGATAAAGCGAATCTCTAATAACTGGAGGCGAGTGCAGTGCGAATTTCGAGATAAACGAGTATGAATCGCGCCGAGGTGGGGAACTACTAGACTTCAGGAAAGACCATGGATACTCTAGAAACCGATTTCGCCAGAAGGCGAAGAATGAAGGGATGAATTACAGACAGAAAAAGGTTCAGTAATTGGTGCCATTTCGAGTACTCCACACGCTTGAGCCAAGTACAGCGCAGGCTGATGAGAAGATTTCGGGAGAAAAACGAAACGTAGCTTGAAACATTGCACGAAAACATGCAAATATGCAAAGAATCATGGGGGGCTGTCTCATTTTAGAGCAACAAGAGATCGCTGTGGAGGAAGAGCAGAACAAACCTATGGTTCCAGAGAATCTTCAGTTTCCGGTCTCCACGCGCTCGGATTCGTTCGACCTGCCAAACCACCGCTTCCCTAAAGCTGAGGTCTGACCGATCCGCGTCTGCCAGCTTGACCAAAGGCGGCACATCAACAAGGTAGTAGAGGACGCTGGACTTTGGTGAGATTACCTCTCGGACTAGGCGATGTCCGTCCGGTACGCGGGGGCTCGGAGGCGTAGGGAGGCCGGCGGCGAGGAAGGCAGGCACGCCGTCCAGGAAGGACCGCATGTTGTAGGAGGAATTGAAGAAGATGCGGTCCGCCACAAGACACGATAAAATTTGGTTGTAGCTGGAAAGCGAGAGCAATCACAGTCCACTCCTGATGGAAACCTTTCGAAGTGCTTTCAATTGAAAAAGATTTCAATATGCACTAGTATGCAACGAAGTCCCGAGTAAACCTTCGGTGATTTGACCAGAAATCCCAGCCATTAGGAGAGGAGTCTGCCCGCTAGTACTGCGTCCAAGGGTGGGAGACAGAAGAATAGCCTTAAGAGTAGGCTTATATATGTGAGAGGCATGAATAAACAACGGTACGTAGAAGGAGTTTGGCACGTCGACATGGCATGGCGACTCTTGCCGACATTGGAGATGGTAGTGAAGACAGTGTCAACTAAACAATCCTAAAAGTTGTTGATGACCCACTTGCATAGGACAGAGTAGCAAGATTAAGGCCAACTTCATCAGGCGTGATCAACAGCACAGTGACATTATCATTTGATCAGGTTGGACTGCCGATTGTTGTCGCAAATCTCCACTTTCTGGAACGTGAGTGCTTCGAATTTCGAAGGGTAAAGGGTCTCCGATTTTGCGTTTTGCAGCAATAGAACGGTTTCGGCTTTGCGAAATGATTATAGAGAGAGGAAGAAATACCACCTCTATGGCAACGTTGAATCCACCGCACATAACATATCGAGATTTACTAACGGGAATAGTGATAGGTGGGTACCCAATCAGAGGGAGGGAGAGAGTTAGCGTTCGCCGACTCTTGATCATAACCACCGACAGAATACAGACGATCCGTCTTGTTATGAAGTTCAAGTGGGTAGCCCTCCCGAGCGGTCTCATGACGATGAACGATCAATAATCAAGTCCCACCAGTCTGAGTTTTGGGTATGGTTGACCAAGGACGGCAAACGTGCCGCGGTTTGGAATGGGAATGTGAACTTCTCCAGGCCCATTTTTCGGTTGTCGGCCGGCCACACGTCATTCCTGCATCGGGATAAAAAGCCTCCTCTGTCAGTGGACTCCAGGGCCAAGCCCTGTGAGTTGGAATCGGGAATACTTATCCTCACATGGATGTGGCGTTCACCGACGTGTCGGAACAGCGGCTTGGAGGGGAGGTCGGTCTCATCTTAGTACGACAACCAAACGACCCCTCTATAATTGATGCAGACTTTCAACGGTTGGGCTTGTGGATCAAGGAGTTGGATACCGTTCGTTAGGAGCTTTCAGGCATTTCAGGTCCACGAGCGGAAAAGTAAATGGATGGAAATCGTCTAACAGCTCAGCATACATCGCAAAAAAGGCTTGCTCAGGAACCGCTGATGCCGGCCACGATAGCAAAAATCAGAGCTGTCTTAAATACCGGTACTGTCTCTTTGTGTGCACAGGTGAAAAAAATAAATTTAGAAAGTTCGAGATCTGATCCATGTGAGTTATACCTGTGAGTGCTATCAACGGCTCCACTCTCTCATTCTACTTCACGCGTCGACCAGCAGTTTCTGGTCTGCTAGGCCCAAGGTCATATGACGCGGATCCAGCTG